ATAACTTGAAGTTCCATAGGGGCTGGGGATTTAGCTCAGCGGCAAAGCGTCTGCCTGGCAAGTGCAAGGTCGTGAGTTCGGTTCCCGGTACCGGAGAAAAACCAAAAAAAAAAAAAAAAATAAAGTTCCATAATTTATTTCATTAGCTGTTTTCTGTGACTGTCTATATCTACTTGCATATCTGTTAATATGGTGACAGATTTTTAGAGTTAGCACTACTGACTGAAGTTTGCAAACTTCTGTATTTGGGGTCTGGGTTTTTGTTTATGAACTGACTTTAAAGGCAAGTTTTAGGTCATTATATATTCTGTAAGCTTCAGTTGTTTATATGAGATGTTTGGGTAAAAAATTAAGAAAGAAAGGAAAAAAGATAAATGTGAGAACAGAAAAATCAAATAAGAGATAGCATGAATGGTCAAACAGTTCCATACTCCTGAAGGAGAATCCCCTAGCAAAAAATGTATTTGCCTCCTTTTGTTGAGAAGAAACTGCCTGTTCTCATGAAGTTGCTGTGGTTGTACTTTTTCTCGTATTTGCTATGAATAGATGAGAAAATCCTTTGTGGGCGTTTCCTGCCTGTAGACTATAAGTATGGTTGTGATGTTTTAAAGCTAAGATAATTTTATATCTGGAATTATCCATGGCTCCACTCAACATAATTGGATGGTGACTAATCACCATCTTTTAAACTGGTACACAAAAACATAAGTACTGTACATACTAATGGTGTACCATGGGATGTTTCTATATGCATACTCATGTGTAGTGTTTACATCAGGTTAAACATGTCTCTGTCCTACAACATCTGTCATATCTGAAGTGACCATTTTGTTAACATGGCACATCCCCTTCCCATAGGCACGTTTCTTCATGCAGACAGAGAAACCCCCTCTTTCTAAGGCAGGGGTTGCTGCAGAAAGGAAAAACAAAGTATAGTAAAGGAAATCACAGAAAGCCCTCTGACCTTCATAGGGACCTCGCTTCTTTGTGGCTAGAAAGCCAGTTTTCATGCCTCGGCCTCAGCCAGGATCCCTGTACTGGAACTGCCTCATTGCCTTTGCCTTGGCCAGTGCAGTTTTCTACTGGCTTTAATTTAAGTCACATAGACAGCTTACCTTAATATGTAATGGGACACAGTCTATCAATTCGCTGCTACACTCTATGGAAAAAACAGAAGGAAGATTTCAATCCCGTTTTAATAAGTAAATAAATAAATACCCTTATCTCAGATAAACTTCTGTTTAAATCTCCTCCTTAGAGCAACCATCCCCATTCTCTTCTATATGTAAGTGATGCCCTTAGTCGTTTTTTGGCTCTTATACTTGTCTTTGCTTCATAGCACTTCACAACTTGACATTATTGGCTAGTCCTTGTCAAAGAAACTAACACATTCAAGATGGGGCCATAATTCATACATCTCACTGCCAGGTAGCTTGAACCACCCGTAGTACATTCATGAATGTCCTATCAGGTAGGTTTTTATTAATTTTACTAGTAAAAGCACTGGTAAAAGTGATTAGATCCATTTGTACCGCTAGTGGTACACACCGTCCAGTGGGCCAGTCATGCATATACTACTGGTGGTTCAAGCCAGTGGGAACATATTAAAATGTTTATCTCTCTCCCTACTGTTCCAGACTATAAGCTCCATGAGATGTTGATCTTGCTCACCTTGAATCCCCTAATAGCTAGAATGTATCTGGCCCACTGTATGCATTTAACAAATGTTTATTGAATTATTGGTCAGTGACACAGTAGTTGAATGAGTGATTGGGTGACACGGCATGTACTGGTGGTTAGTGGTGAGGGTAAAGATCCCGAGCAAGGAGGTAAGGAGTCATCACAGTCTGAGGCAGTCCGTACTGCTGGCCAGGGGAAGTGAGGAAGAACAAGGGAAGGCCCACTCCTTGCATGGCTCAAGTGTGAGCATGCAGACAGGGAGATTCTTGAAATGTTCTGACTAAATGGTAGTCACAGTCGTTTTCCTCACATCAGTAGTACCCCAAAATCTTCAGTCAAGAGGGGCAGCTTACTCACTGTCTATAAAGTCTTCCGTATTCTAATACAGCCTTAAAAATTACCATAAGTGCTCACTTCCACAGCACATATACTAAAAAAAAAATTACCATGACAAAAGTGCCAGCATTTATTTAGCTTTATCTTCTCATATGGAACATGTGCTATAAAAACTAAAATAAGTTAACGTATCCTCCTCTTGCTGGAGTAAACTATCAATGACTTGGACAAGTAAGTGAGCCTGTACCCTAAATTAATTTAACGTAAATTTCTGTTGATATTCTATTCTTAGAAGGGATTTCTGGTAACCGTGCTCCAGATTATGATTCCTTTAAGACTGTGTAAACATCACTTCTCCAGGCAAAATAATTTCAGCTCTTTCCTCCTGGGTTCTGGTTTTCACTACTTTATTCTTTCAAGTCCTTTCACTCCTACTTGGCTGAGAGTCTACATATTCATGCAACGTCCAGTTCGGAGCAGTACTGTCTTCTTTTGCCATTTAGACATGCCACCTGACTGCTGTTTCCTGTTATCAAGCAATCTGCCTGATAATTTGTCTTTGCTTATGAGTTCTTTTCTGCCACAGTGAATCAGTCAGGTCATCCATTTGCTGTTGTTGAAGCCTATACCTCTTGTGTTAGAGGAGATGTGTTGTTTGATTTGTTTCTGAGTAAAGTAACCTTGACCAGGTAGACAAGGGAAAGAATGTGGGTTCATTATTTGTGACTGACAGTTAAAATTTTGAGTGAGGCAGTATATATTATTCAGGCTATTGTTTTAGGACACTAATATTTCACAGAGGCAGCACCTTGCAGTAAGATACACATCACCTATGAATTTGGACAAGGGTGAGAGTGAGAGTCATAGCTTTTCCAACTCTGTATGACTAGTTCCCTAGCCTCTCTTAACCTCAGTTTCCTTACACTTTAAGGGGAAATGATACGTACATGCTAGAGTTGATGGAACTGAGTGAGATAATGTATGTGAGCACTTAATGTGCTGTTAGAAAGTGGCAAGTTCTGTAGACTTGGCTGTTTTTGTTATGATGAGTGATAATTATTCGTGGAAATGTAACAGAGAGGTTTTTCATCTAGTCTGAAAGTCTGTGTTGGTATAAATTATTAGTATAAATGTAATACATATTTAACATCACTTTATATAAAACATGTAATCAGCTGTTACACAGAGATGGTTACTGTGAAAAGCAGAACTAGAAGGACAGGAAGATAAATCTATAGTCCTTGGCTTGTGACCATTGGCATGTTAGATTGATTTATCAATGAAAGAGGAATGGAAAATTGGAGGAAAGACACATTATATTTTTGTACCCAGCTCCTACAAGTCATGTTGTGCTGAGTGATAACTGTTTTCATAACTTGAACTCTGATTTAGGAACATTATCTTAAGGGATTCAGGAATAAAAGGGCAGCAGTATATCTTTCAGATTAAGCATGAGGCCTATGGATGTAGTTCAGTGGCAGAGTACATGCATAGCATGCAAGAGGTCCTGAGTTCAATCCCCAGTTCTACCAGAAAAAGATTAAGCATGATTTTGGTGCTAATAGGGCTTGATAATGCTAGAGAAATATGTGTATATTTTTAATGTATTGGTCTGCCCTGTGTTCAGCAGTGATTATGCCTTTGTAAATGAATAAGCCCCTCGGTGTGGGATCATCTCATGAGAAGTCCAGCTCAGAAGTGCGCCAGAAGCCCCCATACTTGATTTAGTTCCAGGTTCCACAGCGAGCAATCACAGTGCTCTCCTTGGTAGTGAGGGGCAGGAGACATAGGCCATCATCTTGCTCTCCAGCTGCCACGATTCGTAAATGGAAATGCAGGATGGATTATATTCACCCTTACATTTTTGCTTTGAAGTTGAAACCAGGATTAAGTGACCCTGGAGGCTATTTTAAGGAAATATCTTCACGGTTCCTTTTATCTTGATGCTTGTCACTAAAGTGTTGTGAAAATTCTGTTCCTGTCATTCATATAATAGATCTAGTATTCCCACTTCTGATCTCTGAAACCCCTTAAGACCTCATTAAATTAATGCTCCATCTGTCTGGATTGGAATCAACAAATCTCTTACTGCTTCTCCATCACAACTCTCCACCTCTTTCTTCCTTGCTTGGCTGATTTTACTTAAATAGCACCTCTGAGCTTTGGGATTTTTTTTCAGTACAAGAAGTTTCTGACATGCGTATTTGGATTTCAGCCTGCTTTTTCCATGGAAATGATGGCCAGAAACCCCTCATGAGCCACCACAGGACCTCTATTCCCCCATCTCTCCCCTTTCCAGAAAGTGTTCTCGTTGTCTTTCCTGTCCTGTCACTTGGAAGATACCAGAACAGAATGACTTAATACCGGGGTTGTAGCCTGTGATGGGTCCCAGAAGCACTGTGACACCATCATCTCCTTTAATCCTCATGTCCCATTTGACTCCTGAGAAAAGTGGGAGGCTTCCAGCCATGGAATAGTCCCCAGGTCACACAACTGGAGACCCCATGTCCAGGGACAGAAGAGAAGAGCCATGTGGTCTACCTGCTCACCACCTCCCCAAGCCATGGGAACCACCATTGGGTAATTTGCGGATCCAGATGACCAGCGCTTCAGTAAGAAACATGGGTGACTATGCCCCAGGGTGATTGCCCCTACTAGTAAAAACACCATTATACAGAGCTAAGTTAGGATTTGTGAGACCAAATTAAATGAGATAATACACGTAATGATAATACATGTAATAAATACTACAGAACTGTGCTAGTCCTCTTATTTGTGCTCAGACCTGAAATCTAACTACTTTTCAGTAAAAATACTCAATTTTAGTAATTTGTTTTGGTACTTTAACATTCTCTATTGTTTTTTAAACCAGTATTCTCAAAACTGTCAGCTGCTTTATTGTGCTGAGACCAGTGTGTGTTAGCCTCCTTTGCTCACCAGAAAAGCAAAAGTTTAAACACTGTCTCCCCTTCACTGCCTGGCAGCGCCCCATCATCTCCATCTGCTGGGGCCACCGGGACTCACGGCTGCTGATGGCCTCAGGACCGGCCCTATACGTAGTTCGTGTGGAGCATCGGGTGTCCAGCCTGCAGTTGCTGTGCCAGCAGGCCATCGCCAGCACTCTGCGAGAAGACAGGGATGTCAGCAAGCTGACCCTGCCCCCCCGCCTCTGTTCTTACCTCTCCACCGCTTTCATCCCCACCATTAAGGTAAAGCCTTTTACCTTCCCTGATCCTCCTTTCTTTCCTATCTGCCAGCCACTGCTCACCAAGGGAAGGGCAGAGACAGGATAGATGGGGAGGATACCAGAGCACACGCACAGGACTCATCTGCTTTTCCACCAGAATGCCTGGGGATGGCTGCCTGCATGGAAGATTCATGCTTACAGTCTACTCTGAGCATCCCTGTTACTGTCTGTGTAAGATTTATCTAATGTGATGGGCCTTATCTTTCTCATGGCCACCCTGGTTCTTCCAGCTTGACTCCTGTGTCATCCTGATGATCAAAGGAATGAACATATATTTAGTACTTCCTATATACTGAACATTACACAAATACTTTATGAAAGCTATTTGCAGATGCTAACAGTATTCCCATTTGAGAAAGCAGGAAACAAGTTTGTAAAAGTGAAGTCACTTTCCCTGTAGATAAAGGAATAGTCAGAGTTGGACTCAGTCCAGTTCTAGGGTCAGTTTACCTCTCTTCTGTGCTAAAGGGCAACCCCTATACAGGACAGGTGCCAGCTATATTTTATATAGACTACCTCCAGAAACTGTAGCAGCATATAGAATAGACCTCCCAGTTGCTGCTCATGGTTTTTCTTTAACTTCTAAGTATCAGATTCTTTTGTTTTGGTACTTTCTCATTTTTACATCAAACTTCTAAAATCTCTTGTGAGTGTTTTTCAAGTTGTCTTAATTTAATTCCACACCAGCAGTTCTCAACCCTGATATATTGTATTGTATTGTTTTGTATTGCATTGTATTAGAAAAAGCAGATAATGTGCACCTGCAACTGTGAACCACTGTGGATGGTTCACATGATAAATTACACCATGTACTTAACCTCTGTCGAGCTGTCACCTGTTAGCAGTGCACTGTTGGCTCTACTGGAGTGACAGTGACTTCTTAACTGACCTGCCCCATACCTTCTCTGTTTCTCTCTCTGTGTCTCTGGAATTCCATCTTTCTTTTTCTGCCCATGTCCTACTCTAGCCCCCAATTCCAGACCCCAACAACATGCGAGATTTTGTCAGCTACCCCTCAGCTGGCAATGAGCGGCTGCATTGCACCATGAAGCGCACAGAGGATGACCCAGAGGTGGGTGGCCCATGCTACACACTCTACCTGGAGTACCTGGGCGGGCTTGTACCCATCCTTAAGGGGAGGCGTGTCAGCAAGCTGCGGCCAGAGTTCGTCATCATGGACCCACGGACAGACAGCAAAGCAGGTAGGTCTCTCATCAGAGGGACTGACACCTTATTTTTGCATGGTTATAGAATGTCAGACCTTATAAACCACACAAAGAGAATCCTGTTTATGAAGTGTGAGCGTGTGTTGGCTAGCATGGGATGGCCTGAAGTTACTACATTTCAGATCCCATTTAAATGCAGACTTCTCTAAATACCCTTTCTAACAGGCTTTTTTAAAACACTTTCGTTAGGTACGTGAGGTTGTATATAGTCAAGGGGAAACCAGGACAGTCCTTCTAGCACCAAGAAAGTCTTCTTACAGTTACTGATCAAGCATACATTGCGTAGTATAGTTCAGTATTGAGACAATTTAAAAATAGCAAGATACGTTCCTTCCCTCTTAGAGTAGATGATAAAATTTTCAAATCTTCAGCCTGCTCCTCAACCTTCTACTTCTGCCCCTCATTAATGTACTGTTACCTGCGTATTAGCTAATTTACCAGTGAAAATATCTTGCTCATCCCAAAAGTTTTGATATGATAAATCACTGTCTCTAAAATTCCCTCCTAGAAAGGAAAAAAGAAATAAAGAAGGAAAGGGGGGTGGGGAAAAAATATATATATATACACACACATGCAGGTAGCTGGGATAATTGTACTGCTGATGTCTATTGGTTTATTGAAAGGAACAGTTAATTCTTAAATTTTTTTGACCAATTTTGCATGCTTATATCTAGTAATCAGAACAACTAATTTGAAGACAATAATATGCAATATAACAACCATTGTTGAAGTCCTACCATCTTGTTCAGTGAAGCTGTAATTGTTTCTGATGTTTTTGTTTGTTTGTTTTTCTCTTTAATTGTTTGATCAGTCTTACATTCTTACATCCAGTAATCTGAGCAACTTCATTCAAGATAACAATATGTAATATAACAACCATTATTAACTTCCTATCATCTTGTTTTGAAATTGTTTTTATTGTTTTTGTGTTGTTTTTGTCTTCTTTGTTGTTATTTTGTTACTGTTTTTTCTCTTTAAAATAAAAAAAAGAGCTGGGCGTGGTGGCACACGCCTATAATCCCAGCACTGAGGAGGCTGAGGCAGGAGGATCATTGTGAGTTGGAGACCAGCCTGGGCTACAAAGTGAGCTCAAGGCCAGCTTGAACTGCAAAGCGAAACCCTATCTCAAAAAGAAACCCTCCCGCCCCCGAAAAAATAAAGTTAAATTAAATTTTTTTGAAGTGAAAAAATAAAATAAAATCCCCTCCAGTGCTCATCACTGCTCAGTTGTAGTAGTTGTCAGCTTTCCTGTTGCTGGGACAGAATACCCAACACGCACAACTTGAAGAAGGAGAAGTTTAATTGGGCTGGTTTTGGGGTTTCAGTCCATCCTCAGCTAGCTCCAAGTCAGAAATGGCACAATAAAAGAGCATAGCAGGAGAAAGCTGCTCACCTATGGCAGTCAGGAAGCAGAGAGAGAAGGGAGGAGTCCAGGACAAGAATACACCCTTCCAGGTCACACCCCGTTCTTCTCATTGAACCATCTCCAACCAGACTAAGTCTGACAACACATTCAGCCGTAAACCACTAAGTATAATATGAATTCACTGAGTATAGAGTCCCCATTGTCCAGTCACCTTCCAAAAGCGCTACCTGTGAATACATGAGAATTTGGGGGGACATTTTAGATCTAAGCCAAATATCAGTTAATGTCATTGTCCCATACCTCTCTCCAGGATCCCAGACTTCGGGGTTTTGTATCACTTAGCCCTAGCTCAGTACCTCACAGTGAAATCTTCCCTGTCACAGAATGAACAGCACTGTCCTCAGTGCCCATAACCAGTCAAGGACAGGTCGTGTCCTGATCAGGACGCTGTAGTCATTGTATTCTGAAGTGTACCTGCTGCCCAAATCCTGAGGGCCTGGAGGGAGGGGACTGTTTAATCTTTATACCCTCAGTACCTTCTAAGCTCCTGACCTTGAAACATTAGTTGCGTTAGATTTGTCTTCATTAGTTCATTTGTACGTTTCCACTATCTTGGACTTTCACTCTGCAACCCACTAACCTGGCCAAGTCCTTTATGGTGTCTCTAAAGCTACCATGACATGTGTATGCTTAGAGTCATCCTAGGTCACAGTGCAGCAAAATGTTCCCCCTCAGTTTCGTTCACCTATCCTTGTGCTTTATGCAGTTACCCTACCTTTACTGTGCATTGTTTGCTCAGCATCTGTGGCAGATTCTGCTGTCAGTGTTACCATATAAGATCATAAGCAGTAAAGCTGCACTTTAAAAATTGGATACTTGTCATTTATTAACACAAGACAAACCAGTACGAAGAACAGAGCAAGTAGAAGAATTGGAGGCTGGTGGGCTTCAGGTGGAAAGGGTAGAGAATAGAGAAAAAAGGGCAGACACTAACTTAGAAGGAAAACATGGTTTCAGAAGAAGAGGAAAGAAAAGGGAGCCACTGTTTGGTGGTGACTTGAGTGAGCACATGGGACAGGTCTCAAGCAGAGCCTGCACACGTGTTCTCTTTGGATGCCAGCATCTTGAAGCATCTCCCCCGGAAACAACTCCCTAGAACCTGTGCTAAAGTTCAGTGTTAGGATTACTTGGGTGAAGAGCTTGTGGACTTGCCCATGTACCTCATTTCCACAGTGGCTGGAGGTGCTGCAGGCACTAAGGCTGCAGCCTCTCGAGGCCAGACTTGTTTGAGGCCTAGGCTGACTGTGCCAAATGCCTATTTTCCCCTTGTGTCATATTTATCAGCTCATATCAGGCTCAACTGACTGTACTGCTAACAATCCTTTGGGGAACGAGGTGTTTTATTTTGATAATTTTTATAATTAAAAGAATTAAAAGTTGTAAAGCAGAGCAAATCAACAGATGTTTCACCTACTCTGTCAGGTTTTTGAGTCTTCTGGGAATATTAAGCAGTACCAGGATATCTCTGCTTTTGAGATTTATAAACCCTTATGGGTGACAAGAAAATCTAAGTACTTGAAAAGTTCAATTTAAAAGTCAAGATTTAAATACCTCCTGACAAGAATAGAAGCTGTATCACAAGGCACAGTGTGACTAATTCCCAACTGAATGGTACATGTAAACTACCACAGAGAATGAAGTGATCCCTGACTCTAAAATCAGGAATTTCTCATGATGAACTCTTTCAAGCTTCCATGTAATTGTTTTTAAAAGGGTCATCTTTAGACCACCTCTATGTAAATCCCTGGAGGTATATTAAATAAAAGTTCCTCGGCTAATTCCTTAGATGGAATTGTGGGTCTGGGCTGGAGCCTACCAATCTGCAACTGACTGGATTGTCCAGGTGATTTTTTTATGCATTCAACTTCGTAATCTTCTGTTGTAATTGTTCTCCAAATGACTTGACAAATATATTCCTCAAGATTACAAAGTATTAGGGGCTAGGGATTTAGTTCAGCAGCACAGTGCCTACCTGGCAAGGGCAAGGTCGTCAGTTCAATTCCTGGTACTGGAAAAAAAACCTTAATAAATAAATAAATAAATAATTTATAAATAAATAGTTTCATTAGTTCATTTGTACGTTTCCACTGCCTTGGACTTTCACTCTGCAACCCACTAACCTGGCCAAGTCTTTTATGATGTCTCTAAAGCTACCATGAGGAATCTCCACACTAATATTAATAAATATTAATGTCAATTTAAAAAAAAAGATTGCAAAGTATTATGAGTCCCTTTGGGAGTGGGGGCAGTGGCTGAACTAGAGATCAATCACACATTCAGGGCTAGAGCAAGACCAGCCCCAAGAACACAGAGCACCAGAGGTGAACCATGTACACAAATTGTTGGCACTAGAGCAAAGCCAGTCTGGCAGATATCTGGCCTTGGTGTTCCTCCCTGTTAACTACAGCACAGATAGCTCTTAGAATGTTTCATTTTCGGTGTTCTCAACAAAACACCGAGACCTTGCACTTTTGGCCCTGCTGTGCACTTCCCTCCTTTTTACTGTGTGCAGACCATGCAGGGTTGTCACTGCCTGCCTGTCAGAGAGGTCTGGTCCCAGCTTTGCTTTTATTATGTGTCTATAGTTTTTTCTTAATCTCCCACCCCCTCTCAGGATGCTGCTGGCTGTGCAAGTTGCAGCATGTGTGTGTGTATGTGTGTGTTAGTGAAAATCCATAAATTTTCAAAAGAAATCTTTAGAATTTGCTAAGGACTAAATTCTCAAATTCCTATGTTGAAGTACTAACCCCTAAAGTTGCTGTTTTTGGATATACACTTTTGGAGTGTAGTTAAAGTTAAGTGAGATTATAAGGGTGGGGCCCTAATCTGATAGAATTATTAACCTCATTTTAAAAAATTTTTATGAATTAAATTTATTGGTACATTTTAGGTATATATAATGATCACATTTATCAAAGGGAATCTGTACCTGTACGTGATATAACTTGATTCTTTTCTTTCCCATCTCCCAACCTCATCCCCTCCTTATTTACAAAAGCTTTGTTTCTACTTTTTTTCTGCTTTTCTCATTCCCCACCCCCACCGCCCAGTTTCCCTTACCATTGGAATATTTTCATCCTATTTCACAGTATCCATTATATATTTTGGTCCTTATTTACATTTTCAGTTTCTCACACCAGAAAAACAATGCAGTATTTCTTACTTAAGAAATTCACTTAAGAGTATGGTCTGAAGTTGCATCCATTTACTTGAAATGTCTCACCTTATCCTTCGTTATGGTAGAGGTGTACTCCATTGTATAAAAAAGCCACATCTTCTTTATCCATTCATCAGTTGATGGGCATCTGGGCTGTTTCCAAGATTTAGCTATTAGAAACTATGCCACTATAAACATGGGTGTGCATATATCACTGTGGTATGATGCTTTTAATTCTTTTGGGAAGATACCAAGAAGGAGAATAGCTGAGTTAAATGGAGCCTCTAGTCCTAGTTTTTTTATTTGTTTTCATTAGTTGATTTGTACATTTCCACTGCCTTGGACTTTCACTCTGCAACCCACTAACCTGGCCAAGTCCTTTATGATGTCTCT